ATCCTTGCGCGTCACAGAAGCAAGTGTGCAGGCCCTAATGGAATGCATAAGTCAGCAGAGCTGATAAAGAACTCTTTTCACTGACTGAACACCCTTCTCTTGGCCTAGTGTTTGGCAGTACATGTTGGTAGAAGAGTTGCATGCCAGCTATTGACTTTCTGAACTGAATCAAGTGACGCCATCTTGCTTACTTGATTATAGTTTTCCCTGAAAATGATACTAAGAATGTGTAACATATTATAACACACAGGCATACTAACAGTGGCATTTCCTGTTGAACTGCATTCAGGGGTTGTACAGTAAGAAACAAGCACTGAATTTATGCAAACTTTAAACATCCATATACAACTGAGGACTCGTATGACAAACCTTTTCATACTTTAGAGTCACAGCTGAATCCTGAGTGAGCCATTGAAATTCAAAACATGCTGTCCAGAAAACCAGAGAGCATACAAGCACAGATTTTAAAGTCCATGTAAAGCATTAATGTCTTCTAAGTTTGTCAAACAGGAAAATGTATTAACCACCAAGCCAAATTTGAACAATATAAAATAAATAAATAAAGGTCACTAAGCATATAAAATTAGGTTTTAAAATCATAAAAAATACGCAAAATTCTCTGCTCTCAAACACTGGGTGCATGTTGGGTGAAGGTGCTGAAACCATGGGCAATCGGGGAAAAGGTGCCAGTCCAGTGTTGCCATTTTAGAGTTTCTCACTAGACTTAGTGGCTTTTGAGACCACTTTACCAAAGTTTGTCCAAAAGAGTGATTGGTTGCGTTGCATTTGCTCATTCATGCCTCTCAGTGGCTGGACAGGCACAGAAAATTCACTCTCCTTCTCGGTCAGTTCAATGGTCGTACAGACCATCTCCAAAGTAAGTGCTGTTCAACATCTACTAGTTTTAACTCCAGAATGACCTGCTCAGTTTCAGTTGCCATTGTTTGAAATAAGTGGCGAAAAAAACAACACAGTGGCATAGAAACCCCGCCACCAACTAGCATTTTGGCTGCAGAGCGACACATGCTGCACAAGCATAAATGCTCTCAACAGCGTAGGCCATTTCCATAGCCTATGGTGTAGGCTCTGCGTAGATTCAAAAGAGAAGCATTAGGCTTAACTCTACTATTTAGTACTATGTATTTCAGACCTTTCTCACACATTTTCAGCAATTATTTTCTAACATGTATAATGTGTTTAGAAATACAGTAAATCACTGATTTTCCTTTACATGGACTTTAAAGGGCTGCAAACTTTCTAGAAACCGTAGTAGACAGAGTCTATCCTCATTACCTGCATGACCTGAAAGCATGAAAGCCTTAAGGAGGTTAAGGACCTCTTCTCTTAGAGTACCTTGACACAAAATATTGACAGTACCACATTCCCCATCAAATCCTTAATTGAATTAATACTGACTAGCAATCCACACAACTACACAACAGTTGGTGTGTTTGCAAACAACCTGAGTGAGCACTGCATTATATAAAGGGATACCAAGATTCTCAAAACAAAGCAAAGGCTGATCACTAGGTGATGTCTGTGCAGATTCTCAAAATGAGTAGCAACATGTCTGTGCAGATTCTCAGTCATCCAGGTCATAGTAAACTGAAAAAATCAAATGGACTAGATTTCTAGGTCGAAGACGTTTCACCTCTCATCCAAGAGGCTTCATCAGTTCTGACTGACTGGTGTTGAGCCGGAGATATTTATCCCCCTTGGTGGTGTTTCAGTCCTTTGAAGGCCAACAATGTCCCTTAACGACTGAGATAGCCCAGTATCGGTGAGAGTCATTACCTGTCTTTGAATCCTCCCCTGTCGATTTTTTCTAAGTTTTTTCAGATCACTAGGTGATCTTAAACATTTTTAACACAGCTTTCAACATGACCTGTTTCTTATTGACTGGGACAAAACTGCACAGTGGTGATTCTTTTACACAGTGTTCTGAAAATTTAGAGTAAAGAGCTGCAATAATCTGTGATTCACTACAGAGATGGCTAACAAGCTTTATGAACGAAATAAAGCTTGGGCCAAAGCAAGAAAGACAGGCTCTGAATCAGATTGGCTCCATTTTAGACAACTGAGAATTCGCTGTACAGCCACCATTAGAAATGCCAAATCTGATTACTTTTTTTTCCTACCACTAAGAAAAACTGCCTCAGTGACAGAAGAAAATCCTGGAGAACAATTGCATATTTGTCTCCACATAATAATATTGATATCTTGCCTCCCTGCATTATTAAGGAGTCAGTTGCAGTTTCTACCACGCTCTGTATGTTGAACTGTTTCAATGAACACTTTGTTGAATCATCCAGACTTTTTGACTTTGGTATTAGTCACCCAGATACAATGAAGTCAGATGTTACTGATTACACAACTGGCTGAAAGCTTTCTCCATTTCTGAGGTACGTTATACCCTACTGAAATTAGATACAAAGAAACCAGCTGGTCTGGACAAGTTAGAACTAGAGATGCACCGACACCACTAAACTGATTTCCTGGAGGAAGATTAGATCTACTCCAGGACTAATTTGAGATTTATACTAAACCTCCCAGGAGGCAGGTTTTACTTCAGATTAATGTTTGTCAAAGAAAACACGTGGATTATCTGGACCATGTTAACAAATACTAACAAGTACCACCAGCAAGACAGGTTTTTGCTGACAGAAGTGACCAACTGCAACATTTTCACAAAATTAGTTTTTATTTTAATTGGACGCTGCATTGTCAAAATTGCAATAGCTGAAAAATGTGTGTTCTCTTTTCTTCTCATTCACAACAATTCTCTACAGTCATTGTAACCAGCATCGTATGGGTTCAGTAGGCGAACAGGGACCATGCATTTTGACCATGGGGAGAGAGAAAATGTCACAAGATTGTTGTGGTGTTCTGCTTGTTCAACAGGTGTTTGATTAATTACGCTCTCCATTACTGCATCGATGTCTCTGTAAAGTGCATCTTCATTTCTGTGTGAAATGTGGAGGGAGGGGCTCACAGACCCATAACAGAGCAATCAATCAATCAATCAATCAATAAATAGGAGCTTGCGGTAGGCTTTACTTTTGTCATCGTCACTTATCTTAAAATATCCGTGTCCATGAAATTTCTTATCATCTGCTTAATGACCTGCTCAACCAGCATAAGGTTAACATAATGGCACTGCGAAGTGGTATCAGTGCGTAGTATCATACAACTTTTACAAGTACTAGTTGATGGCATCTGGCCGGATACCTGATATGGGTTATTGGTATCAGCACATTCCTAGTTAGAACCATGTTTTCTAAAGATTGCTGCAGAGTTAATGGATTTTCCTATCTCACACATCTTTAATCTCACTTCAAGTACAAATATGCTAGCCTAGGTGTGGATGTCCCCCGTAAAAAAATTACAGGTCTATCTCCAATTTGTCTGGTTAAAATCCTAGAAACACTTGTGAATAATCAAATTAAAGGATTTATGTAAATGCTATTCTGTCTGATTATCGGCAGAGCTCTAAGCTTACATTTATTTATTGTTAGGGACAGTCCTGCTTTATAATTTTGGATTTAATTTTGCACAGTGGTTTTGTTTGTCAGATTTTATAGATTTGTTTGCTGTTTATTTGTCAGGGAGCTCAGCAGTTCAATGGGAGATCTCTGATTACAAGACTTGTAGATTCAGTGAGTATCTGTTCAAATCATCCATGTAGAATATGCAATAGGACCAACTGTTCACTTCATTCGCCGAACTTCATTCCATAATCATCTGTGGCTCCATAAAAATGACAAGATTAAAAACATCAAATATGAAATTGAGTGCTTTGCCTGGCCTGCAGTCTAAATCCCAAAGATATTCATTGGGCTATACCATCACATATTAAATAAAGAAAAGCAAAAATTCTCACATTTGAGAAGAAGCTGGAATCTGAGAACATTTGGCATTTGTTTGAAAAATTACTTGAACACAATAATCCATACAGCAGGTGTCAACTGATTTTCTGTCAAACTTGACATCATTTAATTGATTCATTGTCTCAGCTATACTTATTAAAGTGACTTCGAGTGTAGGTGTACTCACAAACTCACAAACAAGGATTGTTTCTGAGCATAACTGTGTCAACCAAGCCTCCAAAACCTGATAATTTCTGTGCTTAGCTGTCAAATGTTTCTCTTGCTTCCACTAGACACTTCATACTGGTACATTAATATCCCAAACTCAAAGCAAAAAGCCAACCCAACAACAGCTAAACTTATGTGCTTCTAAAACAGCATTTGAACATACTGTTGTCCTATAAGCTTTAAAATATAGGAGGACACCCACAGCTTTGTTAGTAGGTATAAACATGTTAAGAGTATCAACACACAGACCAACCCACCTAATTTCAAGGAAATACTATTAGTTTGTCACAACTCTGCATACATAGATGATAAACGATACAACATCATCATCATGTTACTATTAGGCTATTCCTGACACAGGAAAACAAAAAGTAGATCATCATTGATATCAAAAGCTTTTCACTGATGACCCTTCTGACCTGACAGTAAGGTACACTGACCATCAGTGTTAAGCTAGAGGCACAACCTAGGCTTATTCAAACAAATGATCAGCTATAACTTCAGACAGCAGTTGGTACCATTTTTGAGAACATACTAGCTAACGATAACGTTAATCTAACCTAACGAGCTACTGCACAACTAGGATACGCGACTTTATCCGACAGCCTCTGGTTATTTGCAACATCTGCCGCTTTGCTAGCAACTGTTTTAACATATAATACATTGCTTTTGTGTACACTAACCCTCTATGACCGGTGAAGAAACGAGTTAGAAAGGTCTGTCCGAGAGTTTCTTTCGTAAGCTAAGCTAACACTAACTACTGTTCTGCTGTAACGTCAGTGTTTGTGTAGCGCGTTCAGGAAATAGCCGGAACCCGGTCAACTAGCCATTAGGATATTAAGAATGCCTCCTTTCAAGTTATATTAATGTATTCCCTTAAATTAATTATGTAGGCAAAATACATACCAGCTCATTTTGAATGAACCTTTATTCCCGTTTCATTAGGCAGTTTTAATGTTTTCCAAGGACCTCATCCCTTTCGACCAGTTCTCAGCCGAGTACTAAACAGGAAGTCCGGAGTTAAGCCGCTTGTGTTTCCTCTAAGGAAGTTTTTCAACACAAGGGGCAGTTTTTGTTGGGGGGGGGCAGTTACTATTGTGTTAATGCTGTACTAAAACCAGAATACTCGCATGTTCTGGCAAACTGTTTACCATAATATCACGTTCATTGGTTTAATTTTGTTTGGGTACGTTGGTCGAGTGCGTGCGTGCGCGTGCTTGTAGTGGGGCAAGTAAAATTAAAATAAGTGATATTTTTCTTTATTCAAGTACTTACATAGAAATAACAAAACAATTGCATTACAACAAACCGAAGTGCCAAATAAACGGGGGAGCACATCTCCCCATCACAAGGATAGAGTAAAATTCATCTCAATATTCAGCTCATCATAAAAGGACCTTATTATAAGGTAATAAGAACATGAAATAGGCTAAAGACATCCACAACATTTTAAACAAGACCCCTTATTTTTCTCTTAAAATAAAGCCAACAGAACCATTATCCCCGTGTGTGTTTCCAATTGTCTGTCTTGAATTGCTAGATTTTCCCATTTCACCCAATGTGACTTTAATTTTCATGCATAATAAAGAAATGAGCACTACCCTGCAGCATTTGAGGGTAGCACTTTGGAACATTTCCGTGCACATGCAAACATGAGGATATACTGTAATGAAAAGGAAACAACACAACAAAAAACAGTGAGTATTGACTCCACCTGAACACCATAGTGTCACTGTTGAAGACCACAAAATCCCTGAAGCCACCCTGTAGTCCATAAGATGACGTGAGTAGCCTATAATATCTACATATTATTGAAATCTATTCAAATGTGAGTTGTATTTTTTTTAATCCTGTAATTATTTATTGTCACGAATAAGCCCAAGCTTATTGCCTTGCCCAAGGCTGATTTCACATAGACTAAATCAAACAGTTAAACACAAACATTAGCACAAGGCTGCCTTCAACTGCAAGCAGACTGAGGTCACATTTATGATTTGTTACTCCCGTGGAGTTCTCATCACACATTGTTTTTGATCAGCCAACCCTGCAACCCAGTTTGGCACAAAGATGGCTGCTAATGTTGGCTCAGATCCAACACAGAGCATGGTGGATGAGGCAAATTCCAATTTAAGTGTTCACCCATTTTGGTCAACAGAACATAAAATCCGTGAAATAATTTTTTTTGTGGAGAAGCATTATTAAGAGGGGGTTGTGTCTGTGTTTGTTTAACACATGACTGACATATATCTATAACATTCATACATTACACAGAAGGATTATAGCTAAAAAAAACATGGTGCAGGTTGTTATGTTGTTCATCCACCAAATTCAGGGAATGAGATTCATGGAGATTATATAAATTGTACAAATCTTTCCATTGCAAAAATGTCATAAAACAAAAGTGATAAACACAGAAAGATGATGTGATCGATGAAATATTGAATTGGCAATGCTGTAATTACACGGCTTCATTTATTCATGGAAACAGTTTGGTGTTCTCCACCTGACTCTGCACTATTCCTTAACACAAAGCAACATAAATACAGTTTTCTTCTAGAGGGGGGCACATTCTATATACTATAATTAAAAACATCCATTCTCACCAGCAAAGTGTCAAATCATGGGGACACAAGAGCATATTTTTTGGTCAAATAAATTCAAAATCATCCAGAGTCTATAATCAGTGTCTAACTTCAGATTATTCTAGATAAACATTAGAGATAAACACTTTATAGTTCATATCATCTCATATACTACATATTTTTTTGTGCTGACTCCACGAGGCTGTCTGCTACAGGATGTTTACAATAGAGGCCATTCATCATTGCAAGATTTAACCTGACAAATCTCAATCTAATGTTTGAATCAAAGCTAATTATTTGAGAACAGAGATACGGAATGCTGATGTAACATGCAAAAAGTGAAACTTCCAAGTGCTCTATTAAGTTGAGATTTTCATTTCAGTTGCATTTTATTTGCATAAGCTCAGATTTTGTCAGTGACCACACATACAATAAAAAAATGTATTTTTTTATGATGCAACCATTGATTTACAGTTAGATGTTGCAGGGTAGGTGAACTTTTAAACTATCTCAAAAAGTGCAAGGAGGTCTGTTCATTTAAGCATGTAGATGAGTTGAGAAAAGACTCTCTGAGGCCAAATTAATTGGAAAATAAGTGGACTCTTGCCAGGAAGCCCAGCAGTGAAAACTGGTTGTTACAGGAAAAAGAAACCATGGCCTTAGAAGCACATTTCTGTATGCATTATATTCTCTGTGGCACTGCTTTTCTGAACCTCTCTTTGACCTTTGCATTTGTCAGTCGATATTCTCTTTAAGTCTGATTGCCATGTCTACTGACCGGTACAATATTTTTCTTGTCCAGATTATTACAATGTTTCTCTAAATTCTCTGCTTTACATACCACATACACTTCTTAATGGCACAGCCAATAACTACAAACATTGTTTGTCAAACTAGATAGAGAAAAGAATATTGCTTTTAAAAGAAAACTATGTTTATCTGGGATTTGACCAATACATTTTAAGGATTCTAATAAAATTAATTATTTTTTTTTATCTCACTGAATGCTATTACTCTTACATTTCATTAACATTAATGGAAAAAATCTGAATGTGTTGTTTGGTGAGGTCAATATTATTATTTTTGACATCTGTGTTTTGTACTTGCCTTGACAAAAGCACATACCTCAATATGTTGCTGTATTCATTCCTTATTCCCAATTTTTCATTCCTGTTTAACCAAAATGTAATAAATTAATTGTATTGGAGGAAAAAGCCATAGTCCATAAATATCTCAGTATGACTTTTTGCATTTGCACCACAAACCATAATACAGTCTCTTGCTGAAAAAAGCTCTCCAGAGGAAAAAGCAAAAAACCTTTATCAAATGGGGTGGTTGTTGTTGTCACTATCATTATGTTACACTTAAGATCCCAGAGAAGCCACTGGAAGAAGGGAGCCTACACAAAATGTTTCACTGATTGATAAAGGAGGCGTTTCCCTCTCTCAGCACTAAGATCAATAAGGAGCCACATGTGAAAAAATACTGACATAATGTGTTTGGTTTATGAAAAGATTCAGTCATTTAGTCTCCAAGAACAACTACTGTTTTCTTTACAATGGGGAAACTGTGTTAATTGAATTAATTGATTGTAGCTATAATGGAAATACACAAAATGTTTAAAAAAAACTTTTCATTTATTCAGAGAACACATTAGTGCTTCTTTAAACCAGTTAGCACTTTAAAGCGTACACATGGTGCGAATGCAAGTATTCTTTTTTAATGGAAGAGAATACACCATATTTGGCACTATTCTAGTGCTCCAAAAATTTTTGCAATGACCTATGATAACAAAATATTCTATAGTATAACTACATTAGTAAAAGCTTTAAGACACATTCCGCACAAGCATTCAGTCAATTGAAATTTCTTGTTTATGCAGACATTCGTATTTACACAGTGTGCATGAAGGCATGCACTTACTTGTACAATTTAATACTGAGTTATGGTGCATTTGACAATTGAGTACAAAAGTGAAATTTCTACTGCAGCTACCTGCTTACATATTTGTATACTGTACAAAACAACAACTCATTAGTTTACAAATTAATCTCAACCTCTTTGTATTAGAAAAGATGTAAACATGGATTTGGAAATTTCTGGGGTTTTTTCTTACCATATGTTGCTCATCTTTAGACGACTTAAACCAAGTAGTCTTTTTGCACTCAAGCACAGACAAAGGCCTTTATTCATCTCTGCATTCATATACTGCTGGTTTGCAATCCTGTGTCATATATTTAAGTAATTCAGTCTGTCTAACTGTGCTCTCAGTTAATTTGATTTATAAATTGGTGGCATATGTCATAATTATATTGCATATAATTGAAGACCTTAAGACAACTGAAAAAATGAACAATATTGATGAACTTAAAAAAAAAGCAACTGAAATTATGTCTGGTAACACCACAGAAATCCACCATATAAAAAGGCAACAGAAATACACGGTGTCTCTCAGTGACAACAAGTAAATAAGTATTGGCAATGGCATCGATAGCTGCAGTCATGTCTGTTTTAGAAGTACGGTTAACAGGACAACACACCGGTTTGCTTTGTGTGACCCATTCAGTCATTATGTAGATCTAACCAACTTGTGCAGGTAAATCTGAATCTGAGATACAGTGTGTGAATGTAATCTTTCCTATAGGTCTACATGTGTGCTAAGCTGATTCCACTGTTATGTTTGGCAAATGTCAGGCACAATACTAAGAACAAGGTTGGCTATATCACCACAATACATTTGGCACATTCATTTGAGAAAACAACATTCAAACACTACACCTCAACAAAAACAACAAAAAGACGGTCAAGTGCCACTAATAAAGTATCCATGACAGTACACAAATATAACCAATTGCACTTTTAAACAGCCCAATAAAATTAATGCATACATCTCAGGCAACTCACCCTTTAACTATTCTCCATTGTAGTTTTGTCAGTTTCGACCCTTATGAATCGACTGGCTTCGTTCCAATTTAGAAATTCTCTGTAAAATATACAAAAGTGTATTCACCCCAAAACCTATGGATACACAGTGGCCAAGGTGCCCTTCTTTGTGTTGGCACTGTGTTACAGTAGATGAGGCTCTGAGTTGCTTGAAAGAGAAGGGCGTAGCAGCCTTTCCCCATTTAATTAAACTAAAGGCATCCATCTTAAAATAGAAGGAATACAACTGAAAAGAGCAGGGGATGTAAAAGAGAGGAAAAGAGTCACCTATTTATCTCATAGAGGAAATGATCCCTTCTTGCTAAGTCTCTTATTGGGCATGATGAGGGTCCAGTCCAAGTGCATGTAGTGACGGTCATGATGTTCCCACTGTTGGCCCCCCACAGGAGCTGGGCGGCGAGCTGTGGCTCCCCGCTGCCCCGCTGCTCTTGTCAGCTGGCTTCTTGTCCTTCTGTTTGAGGTGAACCTTTGCATGTCTCTTTCTCTCGTCACTTCTGGCAAACTTGCGTCCACAGAACTCACAGGAGAAGGGTTTCTCACCTGTGTGTGTGCGGATGTGTGTGGTCAGGTGGTCACTCCGGCTGAAGGACCGCATGCATATTCTGCACTGGAAGGGTTTGTGACCTGTGTGGATTCGAAGGTGACGTGTGAGCTCGTCTGAGCGCGAGAAGCGTCTGTCACAGTTCTCTGCCGGACAGGCGTGTGGCCGTTCATGGACAGGGGTTTTGCTGGGACGGTTGGGGTACTTCCGTGGTCGTATGGGTTTGAGTGTGAGAGTCTGTGGCGGTGGGTGATGCTGAGGAGGGTGCTGCTGCCCGGCAATGAAACCTGGGTGAATTTGGTGCATGTCTTTGAATGCTCTGATGGTCTCCAGGGGTGTGATAGGTGGAGGGTTGACTCGGATGGGGTCCATGGTCTGGAAGGGCTTGTGCTCCATCACCCCAACCTCCCCCTGATGATGGAAAAGGTTGTAGTCAGGGATCATGGAGAAAAGGCTGCCATCCATTGAGGCTTTGGATGTGGAGTGATAGTCATTGCCAGGGTAGGCTAGAGCTGTGCTGGTGGCAGGGCTGTGGTGGAAGGAGACCTGATCCTGGTAAAGGTCACTGCAGGTGGAATAGGCAGGCAGTGTCGGACCATATACCTGCTCCATGTCTGATGTCTGTCCACCCATGCTGGCTGTGGAGGATGATGTCTGTGTCGTTACTGTGCCGGGTGATGGAGAAACACCCAGGATTCCTGCGCTGACAAGGCTGATTATATTGTTATCAGAGCACCAGCCAGAGCCACCAATGCCACCTGAGGGAGGAGTGTCAAAGGCAAACTTCCCAAGATAGGTGACAGTCTGCCCGCTGCGGTTGGACTGGAAACTGGATCCATACTGAATGTCTGTGGTTGCTTTCTCGCTTCCCATGCCCAGATCCATGATATTATCTAGACAAAAGCAAATAAAAAACAGATAGCATGAACAAATCATCCATGTGGTTGCTTAAACATGAATATGAAATACAGTGCTGAGAAGAAAAGCCTCTAAAAGTGATCATGTCCCAAAAGTTATGAAAAAAAAGTCTAGAAAATTGACTTTGTCCAGCTATTTAATCTGCAAACAAGAGATAAGAAATAAAAGACGTGCAACATAGTTAATAAAGAAATGTGAGTGCTGTCAGACCTGTAAGTGTGTGCTGCATCTGAGACAGTGGTGTCTCTCTCTCTCGCTCAGATCCCACAAGTGCTCATAAATCAAGACCTAAACACCTCCTTTGATCCAGTGACTGTGCCCCTCAGGAGGACAGCCAAAATGAATGGAAAGATCCGAATTCTTTATAGCAAGGAGGATTATAAGGCAAACGCCACAATTATCACACTTGAGGATTCAAAACACATCTGCACATTACGGGAGAGAAAAATTTAGGTGTTTTCAATCTAATCTCTACATTAGTAAGCTTAACATTTTCAGAAATTTTCTTGATATTTTATTTGTGCAGAATGTTACACATTTAACAACAAGCAAACATACATACACATTTGTTTATTATTATTATTTTTTTAGATGTTTTAGATCATTTTAAAGATACCGTAATCATCAAATGCAGATGTACTTAATGGGGATACATGTATGTGCTGATCATGCTTTAAAGGTTAAATGTGAATTCTTTCTTAAACAGAAGCTGAAACAGGCATCTCTTTTTATTTGTAGGAAATACACAGGGGTGCTGATATATTCACTACCAGTAATACCAGCCTGCTGGAATTCAGCTGAATGCAACTCACGAGGAAACAAACAAAACCAAAATTATGTATATCGCACAATATTGTTGCACACACAACTAATGATCCACATGACTTAATTTTATTTTTGATATGATGTTAAGATGTCTGAGTTGATATTAATGGCTTTTACTCTAAATATTTAGTCTTGTGAAGATCATTTGAGTAGTAGGATATTTAAACAGAATGAGGGGCATGAAATAAAACAATCACTCCTCTCGCATGGATCAGTGTGAAGAGTGCAAACAACTGGTCAACCTGTAAAACTGCAGCAAGGTACTTAACAAAAATATATGATTGATAATTCAGAAAAAGTGTATATGGTATATTTTTCTGTTTCTAATGTGAATTTCACCAAGTCCAAGCACAATTCAGACAACACATGCCTGTACTCTGCATAATTGTTTTTTTTCCTACAGTTTCTTTCCATGGGTTTAAATATCTCTTGTTAGAGGTCACATAAAATACATTTTATTACCATGTTTAATATGTCATAAGGGTCACTTTTATTTTCACACACACACACACACACACAGAGAGAGAAAGAGAGAGAGAGAGAGAGAGAGAAAGAGAGAGAGATGTGGAGATGTGGAGCTGGGGTAATTTAAACACTAATTTAAATCAAGAGGAAATATTTTGGGTCCAATTTAAACATGTTCCAAGTGTTTTAATTTGTTAACCAAAAAAAATGACATAATTCAATGATTTGTGAACAAAGTGGGACATGGTACAAGTAAATTGGTCAGTGGTGGAAGAAGTACTCAAATCCCCTACTTAAGCACAAGTAGTGATATGACAGTGTAAAAATACTCTGTTATAAGTAAAAGTCCTACATTCACTTTTACGTAAGTAAAAGTAAAAAAGTATTAGCATCCAAACATACTTCAGGTACTAAAAGTAAAAGTACTCATTATACAGAATGGAACATTTATGTGACTCATATTACTGGATTACAATTACTGATGCATTATTGTGTACATCACATTTAATGTTGCAGCTGATAAAGGGGGAGCTAGTTTTAACTAGGTTATATGCATTTTATTTGAATTACTGCTGGATAGCTTGTGAATTTTCCAACTGAGAACAATTAAGTCTCATGATTATTCTATAATTTTTGTGGTTCTGAAAAGTAACTAGTAACTAAAGTTATAAAATAAATAAGATGGAGTCAAAAGTATAAAATTTGCTTCTAAAATGTAGTGAAGTCGAAGTATGAAGTATCACAAAATGAGAATACTCAAGTACAGATACCTCAAAATTGTCCTTAAGCACAGTATTTGAGTAAAGGTACTTAGCTACTTTCCGCCACTGAAACTGATCACTGCGCCATAAGGTGATCTTTTCAACCACATCAGGTAACTAAAAGATTTGGTGTTTTTGCGCAGCACTGACCCATCACCTCAGACGGCAAGCTTGTACAATTAGTAATTGATTTAATGGAAGTACAACTGAACTAGATAAGTCATCTTTATGTGGGACTCTGGATTAATCAGAAATTAATCACTAATCCGGACCAAGTAATCAATCAATCAATATACCTGGCCTTACATTTTAGTGAATATAAGACGGGTCACGGGCCTGGGGTTTAAACATGTTTCATAAAGGCACACAAAAATCCAGTCTCTGACATGTTAATAGGGTTGTGAATGAAAGGCATTGTCTAAAGTAGTTGACCCATCTTTGCGGGTGTATATTAGGTGAATAATTCAGCGGCATTTGTGGTTTGACCACATGAATTAAGCACACTTTCTCATAACCTACAGCACTGCGGTTTTAGTTGACTTTGCGTAAAACTGCCTTTTCCCCAGTCATTCATATCAACACATCAGCTTCGGAGAACTGAAACCAGTATAAAAACGGCAGAGTGGCTTAAATATAGTCTAATATCAGCTGATGATTTAGGGGGGAAAGTTCTGATATGACTGGCCATCCTTTTTACTTCGCGTTTGAAATTCCATTTCAGTTATACGCACAAAATATAGATTAAAATGACACTGTCGACCTGAGACTCGACAATTTTAAAAGCGTATCTAATTCATAATGGGCTGGTGTTACACCTGACACCGAAAAAGTATTCACTAAGGGAATCTGCCTTTGTGCGCAACAGCCAGAGCGCAAACAGGTGATCCATGGCCCAAGACAACTGTTGCCTCTCGCGCACTTCGCAGTTTGAACTACTTTATTCAAAACATCCGCACACACACAGACACACGAAGTAGATTAAAAATCTTACCTGTGTTCATTTGTGAATAGTGGTTAATAGATTCCGTACTGGTGAAAATATTCATAGACGTCGGGATGTCCTCTTCTGGGTACAGACTGTCAGGGATCGTATTTATTAAACTGCTCATGGTAAGAGGGAGCTTGTCCGCTAGTTTCCCTGTCATAGCAGTTATATTCAGTCCGACATTTATAAAGCACAACGCGCAGGTATCCAAGCAGTTACACAAAAACAGCGGGTGTTCTCAAAGTGGAAAACACAGGTGTGGATCAGGCGTGAAGAAAGGAGAGAAGAGCAGGGATGGATCCCGCTGCTGTAGGTATCCAAGTATCCCACGGAGGACGAGCAGCGCCGGTTATCTCCTCTTGTGTGATCACAGTCTATTGTTGTTATTAATCTGATCACTGTGGAAGCTGATGGGCTGTTTGTGGGGGAATTTGAAGTCTGTGAATTAGTGGAGGAGGTGCTGGTGTTGGTTGCACAAGAGCGGCTCTACTTGCTCTATTGGAGCTGGATAGGGGACTCCAGTCTGCCCGTATTAAATAGGGGGATGGAACATTTGCGTGACGTAGATGACCATATATGGACAGAGTACCCAGCGCCAGGCTCTCCGCGCGTCAGTCGGTGGAAACTACAGTGGAGGCAAAAGGCTCCGACAGATAGATAGCTACAAAGTTTATAAAATCTACATGTCTTCTCTAGATGCGTCCTTCTTCGAGAGTAGCCTGTGGTTCTCCTCTCTTCCTGTCCTTGGAGAAAACATTACAGTGATTCAACATCGTGTTATCTTTATTATTGTCAGATATTATGATGTCTTTAGTGGACTATCGGGCAAGCTGTAAGTTATATGCAGCTGTGTGAGTGAGTGAGAAAGAGAGTGTGTTGTGGCTATGAGGACTATCATTCATAAAACAAACTACATTATACCATAAGTTAGGCCTACATACTGTTTGTTTGTACAAATACTGACTGTTGGCTACTACTAATGCTGGCTAATACTGGAAGATGTTTCTTTGTTGGCTTTACATCCAGGCTTCTTTTTGGCGAAATAAGTTCAGAGGGAAAAAGAAACTTTGTATAGGCAGAAGTACAAAAACCTTCATTTCATCTTTGCTCTTGGTAAACTTGCACACACTTAGTGCTGTTGTGTATTGCAGGACACTGGTTCAAAACCACCTTTCATGCATAAACACTGCATTATGAAGATAGTAACTGGCGGAGCTAATCGGTTGTAAATATTGCAAGCGCCTTGTAAATCCACAGTCTTGCTTTGACTTGGAGCCCAAGTGACCGATTAAACTGGAAACTCCAAATAAGGCCGTGTCCGGCCCCGCCCCTCCATGTCTGTATTTGGACATGTGAGTTCCGGGTGAAGTAGTAGTGGAAAAGTGATCGGAAGCCACAGACGTTCAAAGAGATGACAGTGGACAAAGCGTCATGGTTTGCTTTTTACCAGTCTGCCAACTTGTGAAAAATACGCAGGGTTGCTATATATTGTTTTACTGTAAAAATATCCCCTTATGTTTTTTTCTTTTTTGTTACACCACATGCAACAAATAACTGTAAACATGTTTTGGGGTCATTCATTTATTTCACATGTATTACTTTCAGAGTTGCACCCCTATTTTGCACTCTTAGTTGTAGTTTTATAAAGGTTTGCCTGGTTTTGGTATGAATATTATCTATTTTCCGCCATAGTTGTAACAGTAAAACACACAGACATTTGCAAAATCCACAGAAATTACTGAATGAAATGTCAGTGTCTGAATAGTTAGACCTGAGAAATTAATAGTACCTCAATGAGCCAGAAGTGTAAACAGTGTGGGAGAATTAGTCTGAATCATGCTCGGTGTTTAGGGGGTTTATGAAAACAGAGCAGTCAGTGATCTTATACAGGCAAGTCCTCTGTGTGAATGTCTCTGTGTGTTTTATGAGTAGCAGTTGGTGGGCAGAGAAGAGTCCTTGCAAGGTCTTGTCCCTTGAAGCAGCAAAATAGAAAACAATAATCCCGGACTCAATTCCGAATTCAACTCTTGTGGTTGTCCAAAGATAGATTTCCTTTGTTGACTTCATCATCTGTCTCATACTGACTCATTCCCTAAACTTGTCTTGTGTTTCACTTTTTGCACATTGGTCCAGGTCATAAGGCACCACAAGTTAAAATTGTCATTTGTTTTGTAGGAGTCGTTCAGAGTTGAAACTAATGTTTCAAGATGCCTATTTGTATTTATATAGCTATTATTAGGCCTTATTCAAACACCAATTTTGTGAATGTATATGCATTACTATGTTTTGTCCTTGTTTTTAGCTTGTGAAACAGTGTCAAAACTGGATATGTTTCTAATATACATTCATGCTAAATGACAAAATTAGAATGTGACAGCTGTTCAATACAACATATTAAAAAGCTTCAGAAACAAATGAATAAACAATGTTGAAATAACGTCTGAATTGGCTTTAACAGTTGCCACATCTCTGACTGTGTTAACAAATGAACACATGGATTTAGTCCCTTAATGCATACAATGCATACCACTACATAATTAAATGAACCCAGGGATGTATACTTGGATTGAACTAACAGGAAAGCCTGACACATAATGCATAACAAAGCCAGGACCCATGACCTCATAAGTAACACTGTAAAGTTATAAATGGTACTGTTTATTACAGGCTTACTGCATCAGACTGCCCATTGATTCTGTTCCTTTATCCACCCCACAGGTTGATCAATGCAGCAGAAAGGACTGCCTCAACTGTTGTGTTTATGGATGTGTACCAGTGAGAGACTTCCCTTCAGGTCAAGTTGCAGACTTACTGTACTATATTCTCTCTCTTTGGGGGAAGCATCATGGTTCTGTGTTTGGAAAGTTGGCCAGCCCATCTGGAACACCTACCTGTTGCAGCCTTATTTCCTTGACACACTGGCCAGGCCTTCACTGTTTGTCAATGGCTTGTGGCATTACACCTTTGCATATGGGAATTCAGTGGATGCACAGGGTGTGCCAGGCTCTGTGAATATACTGTATAGTCAAATTAGTTTTGTTTTTTCCAGACTTCTTGGTGAAGGCTAAACTTGTTGCTGCTTGCAACAAGTAGAAAGCTGGAAAAATAAAATGCCTTTAAATTATGCCCAAAGCAACTTTTTATCCTTTATCTTTCATGACTTTTTAAAGCACGTGCCTCTGTTGTTATTGTGATTGACAGCAAGACATGAGAAATACAGTATGTTCTAATATGGTAGAGTCTGCTTTTAATGATGCCCCAATAAGAAGAGTGTATAATGGCCAAATTGCTATTACCACTGTCTAATTACTACTGTCAGATAAAGGCCTCTATCTCCAAACTCCCATTTTTTAGCACTAACAACACTTTTTTTGTGACTGATCAGAATCAAAGTTTGAGCTTAGCTAAAGCTAAAGTAAGAGTACTACATGCTTTTTACATAAGACATGCCTGTCTTAGAAAGTATATTGGTAGCATGTAGTGTAATTTCTGATGAGTAGATGAAAAAATGTACAGATGTTTCATTTTCATCAACCCATCATAAGGTTGAACTTCTGCAAACTATTGGACTACTAAGCTCAGTAGTCTGCAAAAGTTCCAGTTGAACATTAAACTTGATTATCATTAATTCAGTAGTTTTGCACTCAAGTCTGTCTGTATAAATACAGAGTTTATTTTTCACAGTTAACAGGAAGGTTTAAAACATGCATTTAAAACACAAGGCCTTAGCAAAAATCTATACCTTAGCAAAAATCTTTAGAGGTCAAAAGGTGCATTTTAAAATTCTGTGTTCCTTGTTGGTGAATGCAGACAAGTGTTCAATAAAACCTAAAAACATGGATATTCATGTGAATTTTCTTCTGAGGCAGGACTCAGATCTCCAGGTGCAGAGAAATGCACTGAATCTCTGTAGTCAGAATTTCAGAACAATCACCAGACTGTTGAGGTCAAACACAGTAAATACATGTGCAAAGTGGTCAGAAGGCCATACTGTTGACATGCCTTGTACAGATGCCACATTCGCAGCAAGTGATGAATTGCAGAAATTCACTAGTGAAATAAACCTTCTGCACTTGTTTCACAGCAGAGAGATAAAAAGAATAGTCTCAAGTCATCACGCATATTAGATCACTTAGTGCCTGTTAGGCAATTGAATTGATTATACAAATTCCTTTTAATTATTGTAAGTTTGAATACATTAAGAACATATTAAATGCCTTTCCCATATCAACAGGGGATGTGATAAGTTATTTTTTTCTAGAGAAGACAATCAACTTGAACTACAGCTGTCAGTTTTTCTTAATCATAATATTGCAGCTCTCCTGACATTTGGAGTAAAAATAAGTACATTCAATGAAGCTCAGTGGCAAAACCCAGCTGTTTTGGCAGGATATCTCCAAGATATAAAAGAGAAAAAAGGCACAGTGTATTTGGAAGTACAAATCTTGACATTTCAGTGGTGTACTGATGGATTCAAGTAGGTGGTTTTTGGAAGAATGCGCTCCCACTTGGCATGCTTCACAATGAGTGTGGAATTATACTGCACTTGCCAATTGTTAAAAATGTGACTACATAAGTCAAATAAGATGGGTAAATCAAGGTCAAGAGTGATATTCCAACTGATGGATACTTAATATTTGTTCAAAAGCAATGGACTCTGACAAACCATGTGCATATGTGCATTGCTTTGGTTGTTTTGTTTGGAGGCCTGGCTGCGTTTGACTGCTAAGTCAAGGAGGCAAACAAAGCAGATTCAGGACAATTTGATCAATGATTCTCAGAGTTCATGGAAAGGGCACATAGGGGTTTACCAAAGCTGGCTTAACCACCAAAGGAACGAAAACCTCCATTACCTACTTCTGCCTAGCCCACTGATGAGACACCAAATTAGGGTCAATGAAACCACCAACTAAAGATTGATCATCAGAACATCAAAGTCCCTCATGTAAATCCAGCCCTTTTCAGACATCAGGGGTATTGATACAAACCCACCCCAGAGGAGAGCTGCTAGTTAGAAACCAATATTCCTCATGGAGGGTAGTCTAGCTCACCCTCTACAAACACCCATGAAGTCTGAAAAGCATCTCCTCATAAAAGGTTGAAAAGTTTATCCACACCATCCTCTGCAGACCTGTCAGGTGGGTCTCTCAGTCAACTATCTAAAGTTCAAAACAGGTTCATCACCCCAGAGTTGCATTCAAGGACACTTCTACATTTAGACAGAGTAGTTTTTATGTCAGAAAAATCTATTAAGGACCTGAAAGTAGCTCAGTGTTTCCAACAGGGGTGAGAGTGGTCAGTGGAAATATGATAAACTATTTCACAAACAGTAAGTTCCCTTCACCAACACACAACAGGCCCTCCAGCCCCTCCCCCTTGTCCTGTCACTCTGTAGAGTATTTTGGTTCCACTGCAGCATCCGGCTGTGCTGCGGTCTTGGTTTCACCTCCCACTTCCTTTTTTTGGCCCTGACGTGTTTCCGCCCCTGAATTAGAATCAACTCTTTCCACACTGAGTTGTGATATCAGGCCTTCTTCCCTTTCTTGTCGACAGCATTCGGAAACTAATAAGAAATCCCCAGTGAGGTCAAAATCTCTCCCAAATCCTTTGTTCCAGACCGCATGACGAAGATACAGAGCAACATCAAAACCTAGCAGCTGGTTAAACACAAAAAGTAAATCTCTTTCTAACTCACTGATAAGATAGAGGCAAAGAGGGTTGACCCGCAAGCTTTGAAGAATTAATGCTGTTTAAGTCAGGGAAAGCGGAGAAACATGATTTATTTATTTATTTATTACTGAACAGATGAATTCTTCTTCTGCACTGTTCAGGCATTAGAGCATCCTTCAGTCTTTGTAGTTCTGGGTAAGAAACTGTAGAGTGGCAACAGGATCTCCCAGGTCAAATCGTTTGATGAAGGCCTGAATATCCCATTTACCTGTAGGAGCAGGGTGACATAAACACACATATTTATTTGCATTAGTATTTATTAGATATTGTATGTGGAGGGGAAATTTACTTATAACCCAGGTTTAAGTTTGATACAAGACAATTTTGCCGATAGTCTAAAATAGCATAAAGCAGTTTACTAGACAACATGTTTTTATTCTGACAATATTGCACATAAATTTAGCACAGTCTTAGTGCAGTCTCTGGTGCAACTCAAGAGCATTTTTCATGACCGCTCGGCCCATGTTTAAGGGATCTGAGGCCTAACTGAGCAGCACATGGCTCTAGGATATGAGTCACTGAGAACAGCACTGCTGAAAATAAAACATGTTGCTGTAATGATGGAGGTGGGAACGCAAGGACGTATTGGCAAGAAGATATGATTCAATTGCCTGGACTGTTTTTTTCTTCCCTCCCCTTTTAAACAAACACCAGACGGCCATCCGGCTGGTATGACAATATCACTTCTTAGATTTTGACAACCACTGATTCCCTGCAGCTTCCCCTCCCTTTTTGGGGAAAAAAAGAGACAAATTCACAAAACCCTGCATGCTTTAAACTTGCAAACTTCAACAGATTCTAAGAGAAATAAATGTCTGTTCATCTGTCTGTCTGCGTCCTCACGTTTGGGTGTACATAAAGTAAGACAGTGCCTTGCTCCATAATACAGGGAATCACTGACATTCTGGTATTTCCATATGCAGAGTAATTACATTAACAGCTGCTCAAGAATAACGTAGGAAAGTTAATCTTTTGAAAAGAAAGCCAACTATTGAAATGGTCCAAATCTGTAGAGAGAATGGTTTGACAGTTAGGGGATGAATATGACTGGGCCAGGATAGAAACATTACTGCTGTTGACCTCTTGCTGCAGCTGCTTTACAGGCCTTCGCTGTCTCTGTTTTCACCATCAGGGAGCCACATTTTGTATTCTCTGGCATCACGGAGGAGCTGTGGGAGAAGAAATACATTTTGCTGGTGCCCCACATATCAGGTGCACTCATCAACCAACAATGCAACAACAAGTCAGAATAATTAATTTACATTTCAAATTGTCAACCTGTTTGGCTAATTTTCAAAATGTATTGTGTTTTGCTCAGATCTTAAGGTATTTATTTGTATGTAGTTTTATTTCAAACATAAATTGACAGTACTATAAAATTATTACTCAACTATTTTGGGCTCAGGCACTATTTCTGATCCTCCTTACATGTTTAGCTTATGAGACTGACACCTCAGTAAGTCTGGGTTTCCCATAAGGTCAGGTCAGGTCCTGAGCTCAGCTGGTGAGGATGATGAATAATAACTGCAAGATGAGCACATGAGTACCTGGATCTTGCCAGGTCCTCTCTGTGAATGAGGACTGCCTGCAGAAAGGGCTCCAATAATCAAGCAAGGGCAATGGAGTCAAGTGACCTGCCTGTATGATAGGGCATGGCCCCAGTGGCCCCTCTGGCCTGTGCTTCAGTGGAAGATAATGCACCGCCTCTGCAAATCCCAAAATCACCTGCATGTCCTGAACAAGGTCCCTCACCCTTCAGAGGCAGCATTTAAAGAAAGCTGAGTGGTGAGGCAGCTGGGGGATGACAAACTTTACACTGAATAAAGGAATGTAGTTCATGAGTCATATGGTAGATTTGTCCCTCATGACAGTCTTGCATAAATACCCAAACTTTTTTTTTCCTGTGGATTACCTGCCTTACCATAGCATTAGGCGACACTTCCTCTAACAGAAAATGTCACAGTTAAGATAATTTTATTGTAGAGTAATGATCAAACGAAGAGTCAAAACCAGGCACTGCTTGTAAGGCTTTACGCACATAATCCTGTCTAAAGCTGTGCAATCACTGGGCGCAATCCAACATGAGGCAAATTTACAATATCTCATGCTATCGCACAGACTGTTACCTCGCAAATGCCTTGATTTACAAGTGACCTCAAAATAGTCTGGTGTCTCAGAGACTTGTTTTTGACTCTCCCATCTGCTAGATCATGGAAATGACAGATAGCGTGAGACCTGAGGGTGATGTTTAAGTTTTCCGGTCTCCACTTTTGTTTCCACCTTGCTTCTGTGTCTGGGTACGGCAGGAAGATCATGACTGCTTTGAGGAGATACAGAACTGCTACACTTTTTGCTGTGGACAGTGTCCCTGTTAAAACTCAACTCTAAACCAAGTGATCCTGTTCATTGCAGTACAATAGTAAGAGCCATATCAGGGTAAGAGGTACACTTCTACGCATAAGATTCATAGTAATAATAGGTCAAAGGCCATTGACAGAATAGTACTGCTAAGAAATAGTTCGGCACGGCAGATGCCTGCTGTGGAAGGACCTGGGTCAAGCAATGGTGTAATGCTGTTTGGCTGCCAATCTTTGCCCCCAGCCTGCTATCAATATAGCAGCCTACATTGATACCTTCTGCTGCGGCCATATTCAGACTTAGAGGGATTATGCCACATGTTGAATTATTCTTTACTTGGTCAGTATTCCTTGCTTGTCACACAGCAGGAAACATGATTTGTATTTGCAATTCAAATCTATTTGAATGAATTGCTAATAGTGCCTGTCCTCATCAATTACATTTAACAGAGGCACACGTTGTAACTAGTTTCCTAATGACATTTTAAAAAAATCTGTTAATTAGCAGATTATTTATATTTACCTATACTGTATATAAAGTGCAGGAAATTTGTGAAAAATATTGATTCAATCTTTCTAGAACTGAAGATGACATTTTCTATTGCCTTGTTTTGTCCAAAACCCCAAAATAGCGTATATAAAACAGAGAAACGCAAATGACTCCTCATATTAGAGAAGCTGCAACCAGAGAAGAATGAGCATTTTTCTTGATAAATGACACATCAGTTATCAAAACACATCCTGGTTAGTTTTCTGTCAAGTGACTAATCCATTAATAGAGCAACTGTTTCAGCTTGAGCTGAAACCTAATGATTATTTTCTTAACAGTAACATCAACAGATTCCTTGATTTATCAGACCAATACTCAAAAAAGCAAAGACCTTTAATAGCAGTAAATCTTTACAACTGAGAAGGAAATATTACTGTTGTTTGAAAAATGTTGTCAACGATCCACTGGTTACTCCATCTTTATGACTGATTTTAGCAAGGATTTCTGACAGTACTATGAACCTAAGTGAGGGAAGTTGAAGACAAGTCCAAAAACCCCAAACCTGACAAGTGTCTGTAAAAAAAAAAAAAAACAAACAAACAAAAAAAACAAAAAATCATCTAGCCAAAATTCAAAACGTCAAAGTGTTCCTTTAAGGCAGCCGACTCCTGGCTGAAACTCAGGCCTGCTGTAGCAACAAAATCTTGGCTCTCTTGACTCCACGCAGCTCTGATTAATGGTAGAGGCTGTGGGTGGGTGGTAGACATGGATCTGCCCATTACCACACTGAAACATTGCAAATGGCTTCAATTACTGTGGAGGGTGCTGAGCTGGCAGTACAGGCTCTAGGAGGCGAGATGAGCAACGTGCACCAGCAGCTAACTCCACTGTGATCCGTTCATTCGCACAACCCGACTGTTGCATACATCCTCTCCCTTATAATTTACCATGAAAAATAAAATTACAAAATGGGCATGAATGATGATTTTGACAGATTTCTCATTTTCATGCTTCACTTTAATTTTCAGCCAATAATTCTAATGGAGTTCTTTCTGTTTTCATCATATTTTTGTTTCTGATCAATGTATAGTATCTGTTGGGGTCCCAGTCAGGAGACAGAGGGCTGGATGTGTGAACAGTGTGTGCAAACTACCGTGTAGGCTGAAACAACACTAGCTGGCCTCTCTCAAGGCCTCAGTGTTTCCCTCCCCGGCACTGTAACACTGTTTCCCTTGACAAACTGACTCGCCGGCACTAGACAGTAGCAGGACATACTGAGGGCTTGCCAAGTGACTGACAAGTATCACGAGGGCCTGTGTGCCTACGCCTGCCCCCCACCCTGGCATAGGGGCAGCCGCCAGTCAGGGACAGCCTTCCTGAGCCAGGGCAATGGGGATTTCCTATGATCATGCCCCTGTGTCCGGTGCCAAGAGCATAGCCCCCTGTAGTTCCTTGTGTAACAAACCAGCTGTCTCCATCAGTTCACTGACCCACATTCATAACCTTAACACAGGAGACACAGCAGACTCCCACGGTTCCTCACAACAGCCTGTTCCACCTCTCATTGTTCACCCCCTTTATTAGTTAAGTGATGGTCAGAGATGAAAAGAAAAAGACAACAAATTTGCAATAAAATTGAGTCAATGACTGCACTACTGGAAGTGGAAAATGATCATTAGGAGTCTCCCACCCACGGCTAAATGCTCTCCCTTCGCAAATCACATCAATTAATGTCATGGGCTATGAAAAATGTACTCTGTGTCATACCACATGGAGGGAGGACAGACGCTAATAAGTGAACATACTTAACGGAGGAGGTGGGGAGACATGGGATTCCCTCCGTTTCTCTTGTCTATAAAAATACAGTGTTCATGGCCAAGTGGAGGCCAATAATAATAATAATACAGCAGGTACCCCACTGAATTCAGCCAAACCAATTATGACTGTAAAATTGAATATTTCTCTATTCATAAACCATGACTAGGCTTTCATTCTTAATACCTCATGTAGTGTCATTCCCATTGTCTTCTTTTCAAGGACATTTACTCTTTCCAGAACTGACCCACCAAATGAAGAAATTGATTATCCAACAGTGAATGTCTTAATTTCATTTCCCTGGAGCAGAGAGAGCAGTTCTGCAAGAGAGAATGAGTACTATAGCAGGAGTTAAACTGATGCAGTAGATTATGGATGGGTGGATCCACTCAGCTCACATCATCATGTGAGAGCAACTACTGTATTAGTTCTGGTAGCAGTAAAGGAGTATGCTCCAGTTTATTTAGCACAAAAATGGATTAAAATATCTTAAGTAGCAGGCAGTTATTCATTTGATATTTCTTCATCTTAACCTGTCCTGACAGTGATGACCCTAATAATGGAATCAGAGTTCATGTTACCTTCCCCATATGTGAGTTTGGAGAAATAAAATACTCCAAAGTAAATCTCATTTGACATTTCTTTTTCTATAAGTTTCAGTATCAAACAGACCTGAGCCTAATGTGCCTGGATTGTTTGCTAACATAGCTGTCAAAACTTCAAACAGCAGAGACTGGCAGCTCGGCTAATTCACAGCTGTGGCACTTGAAGTCTCAAACCGCCCTAATCTCTCCTCAAATCACCAGCTATGACCCGCGCAGAACAGACAGACGGGCACACCTCCTGCAAGGTACCGAACTGTACACCCAGCTGCCCACCTTCGAGACACTTTTTCTTCAGAAAGATGAAAAGTAAGAAAACATGAAATATAAACATAACAATAACTGCAAAAAAATTGTCTTTGGGATGATGCCACAAAAACAAAACCTGACATTAAATGGTGTCTGGCTCAAATGTCTTAGGACATTATATCAGGTAACCAATAACAGCAGCTTCAGTAGAGCCGCTAATACATGTTCTGCAACTTAATATGGTAACGTTTCACCATAGATAAACAATTAAGCCCACTCAAACAAATGAGGCAAAACCTAAATCAATCTAATGTTGAAATATGACAACTTCCTACTGCAAACATGTCACAAGATGGAAAGATCTACTAGTTAATGCTTCCAAAAATACCTGCTCTAACATATATGGGTTTCTAAAACATTAAACCTATAACCACGGAAACCTGTGATGTGGTTAATGAGAGGAAATGCCTTGGAGCAATGTTTCTGTTGCAGATTCAACAATAAACTGTTGACAGTTGTGTAAATCAGTGTTGGTATATGATAGATGATACTGCACTGGTCAACAGTGTTGTGAATGCAAGTTGCTGGTAAGAGGAGTCATTACCGCGAGATGACTGCTCCTGCTCAGTGAGTGACACTGACACATCTGGAAGCTGTTCAAACAACATGAACTGGTAGCGGTGTAAACCTGACTTCTGTGGCGGAGTCGGTGGACGATAGTCTACATGCAAAAACAATGAGAGAAAGAGAACTGAGATTGGTGAACTATAGCACTTCCTTACATAGAATAATCAAAACAATGCAACTATAATCCAATAACTGGATAAATATTAGGCTGTTTGAGTTTTATCGGCTTAGAAATATTGTGTTTGGTGATATATGTGACTTTGGTGAAGATCAGATCACATTTCATGACCAATTTATGCAAAAAACCAGGATATTGCAAACAGTGCCACTGCTTTATCTTGTGACTGTATATAAATTAATTTCAATAATTAAAGTACAAGATATAATGAGGACACTAGCAAAGGTTAAACAATGAATGATCAGTTGAAAATTATACTTACCAGTGAGGGTTGTCCCTTGCATCTGCCCTTTCTTGAGTGCATCACCCTGTCAATCCCGACAGAGATTTATGAATGATAGTTAGGTCAATTCACTTTTGGGCTAAAACTGACAGTTTAAAATGACAATTAAAAACTAAAAATTTGACAAAAAGGAAGGATGGTGGGCCGCTGCATCGCTTTCTACAACACAACATAGTGTAATGTCACTCTTCTTTAGTTTTGTGCTTCCACAGCCAAATCTTTCTCTTGCTTAGCTTAGCAGTCAGTCCCTGAATTAGCACCAACTGTAATAACTACAGAGGAGGACTTGGTAGAACTGTGACTAAATTAGACACATCTTGCTATTGGAGGGGATTTCTTTTGCAAGTATAAACTCAATAAACCATGAAACGCAGGTGATTATTGAGAAAAGACCATTATAAGTCACTAGCAAGATAAAAATTCAACCTTACAGGAAGCTCCACCACAGGCTTACATCAAACCTGTTGGTTAAAATATATCAAAGTTAAATATATAAAATACCTATTATATTAATATCTGAAGAGACAGTTCCTAGACAAAAGACTCTTCCCAACAAATCAAACAATTCAATGGATTTCCCAGTAGCAATCTCCCATATTATTAATTGTACATTAACTTCCTGTTGCCTAGAAACAGACGACCCAATGTGAAGTGAGGATACTTTTCATAAGCATTTTCCACTGTATATTTGTCAGGTTAAACTCCATCTTCCTCAGGAAGCGCACAGTTAGGGACTTCACACTGCACACACGAAGGTTTGTTTAGTATACTTGGATGTTTAATGCAAGACGGGTGCATCCTTGAGTGGGAGGAAACGGACTAAATATGTTGTCTGTGAAATGGCCCAAAACCCACTTGAGGTAAGCATGGAAGTCCCAGTCATGGGTGTCAAATATCTGGTCTCAGTACCTATCTCTGTCCTCTTTTCTCCACACACAGGCTCCCCCCACAGGGTGACCAAGGTACTGTGTTACTAGACAGCACCAGGACAAAAGACTTGCACAAGACTCTGCTCTTTTGACAACTCATTTGATCCTTAAGCAGAAATTTCAGTTTTCTGTGTGAGAAAACAAATAAAAAATAAATAAACCAATAAAATAAAAATAAATTACATCATGCCTCATTTCAGGGGATGTGGACACAATACAAACAGACTTAAATTGTCTTGAGAATGGTGCAAACATGTTGCACTCAGCAATTCTTTCAAATCTTTTTAAAAGGGGATAAACACATTACATTGTTGTAAATATAACTTAAACCTCCTATTCCAATAACCTAATAAAGCACAATATATGTAAATGTTTCCTGATAATGAAATGGAAAGAAAGAAACAAACAAACAAAAAAACAGGACCAATCAGTCTGACTTTAATGGCAAATACTTCAGCAATGCATGGTATATAGGGCCAAATTTTATAAATCTCTTCAGTTATAAGCACATAGTGCGTTTGTAATTCTACCTGCAAAATGACTGAGATATACTTAGAAATTTGTAATGGTAACTGATATATTTGACTGTTAAGATGATAATTCTGCTTCATTTTTTATCTATAATTCTGTCACTGCTGTTTAACAGTAAGTATTAGAACACTCAGGACCAGTGTTTACACAGACTGATAAAATTCAGAAGATTAATTTCAACAGAGTATCTTCATGTGCTGATCAGTGAGAAAAAAAGCTTTATTTAGAAATAGCAAGAGTCCTGCAGCCTGCAGGATCCAAACCCATTGCCATAGCAACAGGTAGTCAACATTTGAATGTGCAACATTTTCCCACATCTTAATGCTCGTTTCTCGCTCACTCTCCACGGCACCCTCTGCCCTTTTAATTTCATTACAATACGTAGAGTAAAAACAACAGCATGCAATATTGAAATTCAGCCAAATAATAAGAGACAAGTCAATCATATGCAGAACTTATATAGAATCACATATATTGTTGTTCATAAGAAATCAAAATCTTAAAAAAAAAGAAACACTTTTGTGGCTGTAGTGGTTCATCAACTCCAGAGTGAAGCTGGTGTCACAGTAGTTGTGACAGGGCAAGACAGTGTTGATGTCCAGTGGGTAGTGATGGACTCGCTCACACTGTTCTACAGGACATTCTCACATGGTGGGCGGCCTCTCCCTCAGGGACCCGGTTGTGTGGGTGGGGCACAGAGCATGAAACATTCTGACCACTAAATGATTCACAGCCGCATGCCGTGCTAATTATGTTTATTAAGAAAGGCTCAGCTTTAAGTATAATTATGTGCTTGCTGTATTTTTTTGTATTTTTTGGTTAGAAATACACTTGAAAAGTTTCTAGGAAATGTTAAGCTAAATCTGTGGACAGAAACAAAATGTAACAATGACGTTCTGAAAACCGACATAAGGATTCAAAAGAATCAAACATATCAGGCCCGAGTTCATCACAGTTTGACCTCAACAGATGAATCTAACGTCTCACAACCCAATTGAACATCGCTAAACCTGGAATAATTCAGGGTCTAGTATGATAATAAGGTCTGTAGCAACCACCGATGAGCTGGTCAACGGTCACTGAGACTGGCCTCTTATTTCAAATATAATCACTTCATTCTTTTTATATTTCAGTATGGATGGTAGATGTTATGGCTGTTTGACGCACACACACACATTTTCACATACAAATCTATTACATCTTTGTTAAGGGGGTCAAAAGCCACACAGTGCATTGATAAAGTTAATCTTGGATCACTGATACTCTGAGCTCAGGGTTTGAAAAGTTAAAAGCAATAAGACTCCCTACCCTTGATGCTGAAAAGCTCTTCACATAACGGCCAAAACATTATGGACTATACACACTGAAGATAATGGTGTTGATAGGAATAAAATGTCTGATGAGAAGAGACACAATACCAACAAAAAAGAAGTTAACTTGACAAATGCCATAAGAAAAGCATGAACAGATATACAATAGTTGTTTAAGGACCATGTGGTAAAGGGCTTGGCTGAAGTAAGTGTGCTGTTTCCTTATTACTTCCTACATGCTTTATTCCAGAGTATAATATACCATGACACATTAACATTATATATCTACTTATCAAACCAATACACAGATAATAAACTGCAACACTCCTTCTCTACAATACCCATATTCACCTACACCAAACAGTTTTAGGAGTATGTGCTGACTTCAAGCTGAAGATAAAAGTTACAATACATAATACAGATGTCAGAGAAAACAGCAGTTTGGACAACTGTTGTGTACATGCATTCATATAATCACAATGTGAAGCATGCTACTAATTCATTCCAAACAGAACAACACTGAACATAAAAATCCATTAGCATTAATTGTTTTGTATAAGCAATGTGTTTAATTTGAAACACTGAACAGAAAAGCAGCCGAATATTCAAATGAGTATCCTTGCTAGAAAGCACAACAGTACTCACAGCCACTGTGTCAGTGTTGGTCATTTGCACGTTATGTCATTTCAACAGCTGAAAGTTGAAAAACACTAGCTTCATTATTTATGCAGTTACCAAGGAACACACTATTAGTGTTTCTCTGTAAATATTTTCATCTCGGCATTAGTATATTATACTCTTATTATTAGACCTCTCTTTTTTCTTGTTTGCACATTCTTTTTCTTTTCTTGTTCTCTCGCTCTTTTGTTTACTCATTGCCTTATGGAAGGACATTGTACATGCAGACTGAGAGCCACTGTACTGAAATCAAATTCCTTGTGTGTTCAACACACCTGGCCAGTAAATCTGATTCTAAGTAATTATTTATATTTTAGACTGTTCTGCACACATTGTTGTTTAACTCGACCGATATAAAAGTTACACACTAGATACATACAGTATACGTTTTATATACGTTAGAGGTTCATATTGAAGAAAATAATAATCCCAAGGTCACAGTACAAAATTCGGCAAGACAGAGAAAAGCTCAGCAATTTAAAGCACTATTTGAAATACTATACTTACTGAGTATACTGACCTTAGTGCAAAGTATTAATTTCCCGATGACATACATTGCCACTGAGACTTAAACCCTGACATGGACGTTTTGTGATCATCAAACAATTATACAAATCATTGACTGTAAAGATGTCATAAAGAAGCTTTTGTTGAGGGACATGTGAAGTCATTCTTTCAAACAGTAATGAAAACAAAAGCAACATGCAATAAGTTATTCCAGAGTTATTTTGAGAAACAAAATGTGACTACACCTTGCATCCTCACACTGGGGGAATACCCATTCTTGTAGCTGTGATAGCGAATCACACACCAAGCAGAGTGGGAGAAACAATGACGTCAGTATGGCTGTTTACAGAAAAGAATAACAAGACTGACACATAAAGGTGTTTAAATCTTTCATCAGGAGAGCACTATTTTGTGCAGTACAGTTGGCCTCTCACCCAGTGTCAGCTGGGATTGGCTCCAGCCTCCCCGTGACCCTCTTCAGGGTAAGTGTTATAGATAATGGATGGATGGATAGATAGCTGTTAGGTGGGGGGGGTGCGTTGAATGGGGACACCACCTTTCAAATGGAGGGCCTGAGTTCAACACAGTACAACTGGAAACATGCACCCTGGTAAATAACCCGTGAAAAAGTCTTTGCGAGCTGTTGTATAGTTGACCCTGACCTCTGATGTGCCTGCGGAGGGCAATCATGGTAAAGAGCACTGTGACTGTCGGTTGTTTCTAAATGTAAAAAAAAACAAAAACATTTTCACTAAAGATTCCTTAATTTGTCTTTCCTCCGTTCAACTGCGAGCCAGTTACCTCTTTAGATACCAGATCTAACTAATGCAAGTCCAGATGTGGTGTTACACACACTTTATTCTGCCTTTCCACGCTGCTCATCGTGGCACAGCTTGCCTTCATGTTTTATCGACTCTATTTCACACTCTGACTCAGACAAAATCAGAAAGGATTCCGAACAACCTACATGTTATGAGCAATGAATATTTCTGAAAATCTAGAAAAAGCTATGCAGCAGAGATTCTTCTGTGGGTCACGCACTAGCATGACAATTCAATAACCAATGTTTA